TATATTATATTTTATTTAATTTTTTATAAAATATATAAAATTTTTACAATTTTAAATATAAATATTATATTATATTTTTATATTCTATATTATATTTTATTTAATTTTTTATAAAATATAAATATAAATATTATATTATATTTTATTTAATTTTTATATAAAAATTTATATAAAATTAATTACAAATATTACCATTATTAAAGTTTGAGCAGAGGTTAAAAAATTCCCACTATTATAATTTACAGGAAAAAAAAAAAGTCACCCTTTGACTCGCCTTCGGGACCACGTGCCGAACATTTCCCCAGTGTTTTCCCAACCGGGCCCTCCTACACAGTACACGCGCTCCAATCTCTTACCGGTGCTTCTGCCACGTGTCTCCCCAGTATCCCTATAAATTAGCCTCCTCAATACACTGCCTCTTCGCTCAAGCCACCATCATTTCCGATCCAATCTCTTGGCTCACTACTCCGCCGCCGCCGCCGCTGAATATGGAGGCCCGCCGGCGATCGCTTAAACCTGTTCAATCACTCAAGCCGGCGATCGAAGTTGACGCGGCCAAAGCATCCGACGCGTTGCCGCTTCCGTTGTACATTACCAACGCCGTGTTCTTCACGCTCTTCTTCTCGGTGGTATACTTCCTCCTCAGTCGGTGGAGAGAGAAGATCCGGACATCTATACCGCTCCATGTCGTGAATTTCTCCGAGATTGTCGCCATCGTTGCTCTGATTGCCTCCTTTATCTACCTTCTGGGTTTCTTTGGTATCGATTTCGTTCAATCATTGATCCTCCGCCCTTCTACTGATGTGTGGAGCGCAGAGGATGATGAAGAAGATGAGATTGAACTGCGTAAGGATGATGCCCGGAAAGTACCCTGCGGTCAGGCGCTTGATTGCTCTCTTCCTCCTGTTGCTACTTCACCTAAAGCAGCGGCACCGCCGAAACCGGTTGTCTCAGTCATGAAGGTTTTTGATGAAATGCCTGTCCCTGTTACAACGAAGGAAGATGAAGAGATTATCAAATCTGTGGTGAACGGGACAACTCCATCGTACTCCCTGGAATCCAAATTAGGAGACTGCAAAAGGGCGGCTGCAGTCAGACGGGAGGCGTTGCAGAGAATCACTGGGAAGTCACTAGCCGGACTGCCCCTGGAGGGGTTCGATTATCAGTCAATATTGGGGCAGTGTTGTGAGATGCCAGTGGGTTACGTGCAGATTCCGGTGGGAATTGCTGGCCCATTGTTGCTTGACGGGATGGAATACTCCGTTCCCATGGCAACTACGGAGGGATGCTTGGTGGCCAGCGCTAACAGGGGTTGTAAGGCAATTCACTTGTCCGGTGGTGCCACCAGTGTGTTGCTGAGAGATGGGATGACCAGAGCCCCTGTTGTAAGGTTTGAAACAGCAAAAAGGGCTGCTGATTTGAAGTTGTATTTGGAGAATCCTGCCAATTTCGAGTCCCTGTCTGTTGTCTTTAACAGGTTTCTTCAATCTCTTCTTTTTCTATGTTTGTCGAAGTTGTGGTTGATTTAAGTTATACCATGAAATTATTCAGGTTATTCTCAACACTCAGGCTTTTATCATTAACGATTGACATTAATGTTAGGTTCTTCTGGTTTGTTTCAGATCAAGCAGATTTGGTAGGCTTCAAAGCATCAAATGTGCAATTGCTGGAAAAAACCTGTACTTGAGATTCTCTTGCAGCACTGGTGATGCTATGGGGATGAACATGGTTTCCAAGGGAGTCCAGAACGTTTTGGAATTCCTTCAGACCGATTTCCCTGACATGGATGTCATCGGCATCTCTGGTGAGTTGCATGGTTTTACATCCTTCCTGATACCCTTGTCCAGCTGAACGGGAAAACTAAATTTATCTGTTTTTGTCGTTGACAGGAAATTTCTGCTCGGACAAGAAGCCAGCTGCTGTCAATTGGATAGAGGGAAGGGGCAAGTCTGTTGTATGCGAGGCTATCATCAAAGCTGATGTGGTGAGAAAGGTCTTGAAGACTAGCGTGGATGCCCTGGTGGAGCTTAACATTCTCAAGAACCTCACCGGTTCTGCTATGGCTGGAGCTCTAGGGGGCTTCAATGCGCATGCTAGTAATATTGTTACTGCAATCTATATAGCTACTGGCCAAGATCCTGCACAAAATGTTGAGAGTTCGCATTGTATCACGATGATGGAAGCTGTTAACAATGGGAAGGATCTTCACGTCTCCGTCACAATGCCTTCCATTGAGGTAATCGATTGATTATGGATATTTGCTATCAAAAGTTTTCATTTTGATATATTTCTATTGATTTTTTCTGTCAAAAGCTTTTAATTTTTTTTTTTTTTTGGTACATGTCAAAAGCTTTTAATTGATTGATAGATTGTGTTACTAATGTTTTTGTTTGGTTTGTGTTCTTTTAGGTTGGCACCGTAGGTGGTGGAACCCAGCTTGCATCTCAATCAGCATGCTTGAACCTGCTAGGTGTCAAGGGTGCAAGCAAAGACTCACCCGGAGCACACGCAAGGCGCTTGGCAAGCATTGTTGCTGGTGCAGTACTTGCGGGAGAGCTCTCTCTCATGGCTGCCCTTGCAGCCGGACAGCTTGTGAATAGCCATATGAAGTATAATAGGTCAAACAAGGATGTTACAAAGGCGTAACTGACATAATGCGGAGGCTTGGAATGCCTCAAAATCTTGCAAAGAATGCAAAACCAGTGATATAAACGAACCCTCAATAAGCATAGATGGTGGGTTTCAGTTATAGAAAGAAAAAAAAAAAAAAACAGGATAGTTTGTAATCTCCTTCCTTTCTTCAAGTTCCGCTCTTTCATCTAATTTTTTAATAATCAAATGAAAGCCTTGTATTACATTATGTAGAAATACAAAAGAAGTTTAGTTTCATTCTTCATCTATATTTAGATTCAAATCATGTCCTTGTTTGAATTATTTCTTCAAGGAAATAAACTAGTAGGACACTGATCCAAATTCAACAGCATAAACCGACACAAGATTCAGCACTCTTTTTCCTATCCAACTGCATCTAATTGAATGTTTGCAAGATACAATTCTGTTTTTCTGTAAGGATCCTGATGACTCTGGCATTAATCCAACATCTGGAGTCATCCCTCTTCTCTTTTTTTTTTTTTTTTTTTTAACCAAAAAAAAGAAAAAAGGAACTCGCAACATTTAGTATAGAAACCTTGATGAACAAACCATCAGGCGTCCCTTAAAAAATTTTCACCAGGCGTCCCTTAAAAAATTTTCACTGCATTTATAAATTGTTTATATGGGGAGGATGCAGAGAAACACGGTATATCAATCCCTCTGTAGCCATAGTTGTAGAACTCAAGAAGGAGAACGGAATTAGAAAGAAAAGAAAATGGACATAATTAAATGAAAAGAAAAGGGGCATTTGGGTTGAAAAAGGTGTCAATATTGGCTGCTGGCTAGCTGACAGAGTGGACTTCTGCCTGATTGCCTGAAACCGAAAAAAAAAGAAAAAAGAAAAACAATAGGGATGGCCTAGACATATAGGTCAAAAACCTAAAAATAGTCTCTCACCATGATAAGTGGACGGTTTTAACCTTTAATCTTATAATATAACGATTTTAGCCTTAGTCTATAAAATTAAAAAAAAATAGTCCTTATTTCTAATTTCTATCATACCTTTGTTACTTCCGTCACCTTTTTCGTAAATTTTGTCCGACTTATATTTATAATAAAAAAAAAAGAAAAGGGAAAGCTTCTCTTAGAAGACTAATGTTTTTTTTTTGTTGGAATTCCAACCCTTTTTTTTTTTTAGAATTCTAATATTTTTTACTTTTATTTTTAAAGATGACTACACATATATTAATTGTATATAATTTTTATATATTATTAAATAAATAGATATAATTAATATTATAGGTTTC